CCCATTGGTAGAGAAATGATTTTTTTTTTGGTTTGTCTGTTCTCCGTTCTCAGAAATATACGGTGTCCAACATAAGGATAAAAAAAAATATTTTATTTTTTTATTGTTGCCACTTTTTGAGCTCTGATTTGCAAGATTTTAAGTACGACAATCCAATATTTTTTTCGATTTCAATAACTCAAAAAATGGCAGGTGACAGTTATTTTTTCTGAACACCACGTTCCTAACCTTTAAATCGATGAAATCGAATTTTTCGAAAGCAAGCTCTCTTCGCAACCGTAGGTCCTAGGGGACCCCCATTGGTAGAGAAATGATTTTTTTTTGGTTTGTCTGTTCTCCGTTTTCAGAAATATATGGTGTCCAACATAAGGATAAAAAAAAAATATTTTATTTTTTTATTGTTGCCACTTTTTGAGCTCTGATTTGCAAGATTTTAAGTACGACAATCCAATATTTTTTTCGATTTCAATAACTCAAAAAATGGCAGGTGACAGTTATTTTTTCTGAACACCACGTTACTAACCTTTAAATCGATGAAATCGAATTTTTCGAAAGCAAGCGCTCTTCGCAACCGTAGGTCCTAGGGGACCCCCATTGGTAGAGAAATGATTTTTTTTTGGTTTGTCTGTTCTCCGTTCTTTGATCTCTTCTCTCTGTCGGCGCACCTTAAAAACGCGAATAACTTTTATTTTTTATAATTTTTGAAAAATGTACAGGGTGTGTCGTTTTTTCGTAAAAACCGAAAAATGTGAAAATACTATGTAGAAGTTGTCAGATTCTTTTACATGAAAATATAGGCCGTAAAGATTGCTAAAACCTTTGCATTTAAGGTTTTTACATGTTGTACAGGGTGTCTGGGATATGCTGTGCAATATTCAAAAATGTTATAGGTATCTCAAATTCGCAGGTATCGACTTCAAATTTGGTAAGGAAGTAAAAGTCCATACCCACATCTAAGCTGTAAAAGTTGGACACATTCAAATATCACAAAGCATGTTTTTTTTTTAATGAAAATTGTTTTAGGATATTTCAGGACCATAACTTTTATTTCAAGCATTTTATCGATTATATACAGGGTTTTTTAATTATAGGTAAAAATATAAAGAACCCGAGAATTGTTCTCTTTTTTAGCAGTAAATTTATTGGTTTGCGTAGTAATAAAGGACGCATCGAGGCCTACAATTTTGGTATTTACGGTTTGCGTCTATCGCACACACTTTTCTATTTATTTGAAAAAGTCCCTGCGATTGTCTCTATACTCATTCTCTTTTACTGTGTAAAACATGGTTTCAAAAAACAAGAATTTTCTAGGAAACCAAAGTCTTCGAACTTTTTTTGAATTATGTACAGGGTGTGTTGATTGTGATTAAAAAAACACAAAAAGATCCTGAAAATTGCCATTTTAGTGGGTAAATTATGAGCGGTAAATGAAAAACTGTTGGAAGTTGTTGCATGTTAGCAGATCCAGTTAGCTTGGCAGCAACAGTTGGATCCACAATAAAGAACGTAAATCTTTGGCAAATACTAAGGTCGAGAAAATTACATATTTGGCTCACAATTGGAAGTTACTTGACGAAAACAAAAAAGGTAACCATGAAATTGACGAATTAACAGCAGGCCAAACTGATCACTGACGTCAATCACGTCAGCGATGATCATGGTGAAAATGAAAGCGAGATAGGCGAGATGAGAAATGATATCTCAACAGCTAGTGAGAATGAGAATGCGAATGAATGAATGAAATACATTTTTTTAATGAAAAAACCAACATAATATCCAAATTGGGTAAAAATCTTGGGTATTTACCCATCACAAGTCATAATGATCCACCTCCGCGATGGTCTAAACTACAGCCGAGGTTTAAAAAGGACAGTCTCGCAGTTTGTACAATAATACAATAATAATAGAGGACGTATGCTTTTTCTTGCAATTTATATTCACCATAAACTATGCAGGTAGTCTTTAATTTTTTTCATGTGAAGAGATTTTTTCAATATTAAAAGCAAACGTAAGCTAGTGTGAGTAGAGGAAAAAGCTATACACGGAAATTTAGTAAAGACATTTACCCAAAAAATGAATGAACTGAACTACGTGAGCACCTAAAAAATTCTTCGATATTTAATAGCACTTCCAAAGAAATTCAGAATGATCTGTTAATGAACAAATAATTGAGGAAATCAATAACTCTCCGTTCTTGGTAAAGATAAATTTTTTCGCAAGAATTGTAGAACATCTTCAAATTTTTCCCACCAGTCGCCACCAACTCAATAGTATGGTCACCAATAAAACTGACAGGCTCCATGATAGACATCTGTATCTTGGATAGACCATATAGAATGTGGACCAGTTTCTAAAATAAAGTGAAATATTGTAAATATCTAGAGAACTGAGGACGTATGACGCTGTGATTTATAATTTAAGAATTTCTCACACGTCCGCACCGTTGCCAGATCCACTTAAAAGTCATAACAACGTTTTCAATACAGATTTCATTTTCAATTAAATTTTGTCTAAATTAGGTGGGACACGAACCGCTTAACGGGCTGACATTTTTTATTTCGGAAAGCATTACGGGGGTTTGAAAAAAAAATTGGGGAAATTTTTACTCCGCCCAATCACGGGAATAACAAAATTGAAATTTTATCGTTTTTTCTGAAATCGAGAGAAATTCCTTGCGCGTATAATGTCAGTTTCACCGTTTCATATTTCCCTCGAGAAGTTTTTGTTGGTTGGAAAGTCCGATTAACAATTAAAAATTAAAATAAAATAAAATTTTCATAATTATCTAACTACACTAACAAGCAAGTATGTTTTCAATCTTTTTCGCCTAGCAATTCTTGAAACATATACATAAAAAAATTAGAACAAAGTAACAATTTATTATATTCTATGTCACTTGTTTTTATTGCTGCTCCTACTTCCCCTTCTGAATTTATTATAAAAATCAAAACAATTTGTTTAACATCCAAAAAATGGATTCGTTTTTTATTTGCTGAGGTTTTTAAAAAACGGTTTTTTAAAATTTTGATTTTAACAACATTTTGTTTTTTAATGAAAATTTTAAGCACTTTTAATTGAAAAATGTATTAAAAATGTATAAAAATAAATTTGCTATGAATTTATTTACGTGGAAGCGCCGCTCTGCCGAGCGTCTCGAACTGCATTGAAGGTTTTATCACTGATAATTTAAAATAATAATACAAAATATTATTATAAAACAAATTTTATTATTTATGTTATTTTATTATAATTATTATTAATAAAATTTTATCTTCTTTTTAATGTTATAAAGAATACTATCAATTTTTTTTATTATTTTTACTAAACACCGTAAATTTAGAAAAAAATATTCAACTTTAAATTTGTAAAACTGTTATGGTCTTTATTTATTTTTTCTAGGTAATTTAGTAAATTAATATTTTTAAATTTACTAGTCAATACTCCATCTTTAATTAACAAAAGAAAAACCGCAATAACAAAATCATTTTGGAAGTCATTCCTGTCTATTCGTGATATAAGTTTATACGCAAAGAATGAAATAATTATTAAAAATAAAACTGAAATGTTGTTGAGTTGATTTAAAATGGGCCGAGTGAATTATGAAATTATGTGATTAAAAAATTAGTTTCAATTATTTTTTAAATATAATTTTGCCATTTTAGTTAATCATAAAAATGATTTTGGCGTTGATGCTGATTGGACATTTTTCGCTACATGTCATGGCAAAGGAGCGTGTGATGGCTTAGCAGGGAATGTGAAAAGATAAGCTTATCGTGCTAGTATCCATCGTGATAAAAACAAACAAATAACAACCGCACTTTCCTTTTTTCAGTGGACCCAAAGTTCTTTTTAAAAAAATACCAACGACGATTCGAACGCTTAACTACAATAAAAAATACTTTTCAATTTGATTTTTACAAACCATTGGAATATTTTTCACTAGAATGCAGGCTCGTTTCAAAGGGTGAAAAAGTATTTATTTGAAAAAAAATAAGTTTCAAAAAAATAAATAAAATAAATGAAACTTAATTATTTAAGCTTGTTTGTTCTATTCAGTACGTTATGATTGTTAATATTGTTAAAAGAATAAAATTTTATTAATAATAATTATAATAAAATAATATAAATAGTAATAAAATTTGTTTTATAATAATATTTTGTATTATTATTTTAAATTGTCACTGATAAAACCTTCAATGCAGTTCGAGACGCTCGGCAGCGCGGCGCTTCCGCAGCGCTCGGCGCCCGGCGCGCTGTCATAAATAAATTCATTTTGTTTAAACTAATGACAAGCAGTGAAATTTTCCGAAATCTTAAACTTAAATGTGTAAAGCATGTGACCGATAAAAAAGAAATGATTTTTTTTACCAAAAAATCAGTTAAATTTTCATTTGTTATCTTAAAAGTTAGTTAATAAAACAAAAATAAACAAATAATTTTAAGTCAAAAATATATTCTTAAAGTATAGACACTTGACCATGGATGCATAAATTTATCTCTTACTGTTGATTTTTAATCCCTTTTTTTAATTAAAAGTGCTTAAAATTTCCATCAAAATTCCATTTAGGTTTCAAATAAAATTTTCAAGTTTCTACAAATATACATTATGGTCCATCTCAGGCAATACCCACTTAATGCGAAGGTTTGCGGTTAAGGTACCTTAAAATACTTAAAACGTCAAAGCAATAAATGCACTATATTTTTGGTCGTACTATAGTAAATATCAATTAAAATTTCTAAAAAGAACTACACTACACCTGCATGTCTAGATTTCTCATAAAATATGAATTGAATAAATTCAAATTCAGTTCAACCTTAATTATTATTATTATAAAGCGGTAAATCTTATGCTCCTGCAACCCTAACAGTTAGAAAACATCAATTAACTGAAATCAAATTCGATGCCGCCATTGCCCCACCGCTCTCAGACTAATCCGAAAAAGCTAATCGACCCGATAATTTAACGGACGATAAACAAAACAGTTTAATTTCGTACAAAGTGCCCGATCGAGCTCCGCTAATTGAAGACGCCACGCGATAACCCCAGCGCGTTCCGATCTTAACCTCAAAAAATCGCGATGTCGCTCGGCAGATTGTTGGTGTTGTGCGCGGTACTCGTCGCGCTGGGCGACTGTTTGCTTTTCCGGGAGGGCGCGTACAAGACCAGAAAGAAGGGACGCAAGGAGAGGATCACCTCCGTGGAGGCCCTCGAACCCGGACGAATCCCGGACTCGAATTATCTGAAGATAAGTGCTGTGATACCGAGACTGCATCGAGCCGGAGTCCGCGACTTTCGCAACCTCCAGGACCTCACGTTATCCTCGTGCGGTATCATAGATTTGGAACCGGGGGCGTTCCTCAACGTTTCCTCCCTATCGAGACTCAACCTCAAAGAAAACGCTATAGAGCACGTGCGCGCGGGGGTGTTCAACAAACTTAACCTCTCGGTAATCTTTCTCAACAAGAACGAAATAAAGACAATCGACGGGGACGCTTTCGATGACATGCCGACGCTGACGAAAATCAAACTCAACTCCAACAAACTGGCCGTTTGGGACGCCAACTGGTTCAAAAACACCCCTTCGTTGAACCACCTGTCGTTTCGAAGGAACCTGCTGGAAGAGCTACCGGATTACGCGTTCCGACACGTGCACGGCTGGCACTTGGTCGATGGCAAGGAGGTTACCGACACCAAGATACTCCTCAGCAACAACAAGATCACCGCGATCAGCCCCAAAGCGTTCTCCGGTCTCGGGAAACTGGGCCAGCTGTACCTCGATAGGAACCGTATCCGAGAGATCGACCCCACGGTGTTTTCCGACCTGGAGATGATCCGCACCGTGGAGTTATCGAGGAACAACCTTACCGAGGTGCCGGAGGGTTTGTTCGCAAGTGTCAGGGTGAACAACTTTTACGCGCGCTCCAACAGGCCGTTGAGGTGCGTGCCGCGGGACCTGGTGCGAGCGGCTTCGAAGGTCGTCGTGACGGGTATCAGGAAGATCGACTGCGAGTGCATCGGGAAGCTGCGGAGCGTCGGCGTCGTCGAGAGCGATTGTTGAGTGCGTAGCGACCTAATTGTCGGCGATTAATTTGACCTTGATCGACTTGTAGGTTGATAGTGTTGTTGTTTATTGTTATTAAAAACGTATCGCGTTGCTTGTGATTTCATTCGCTGGACGTGAAGCAGCTGCATAGTGAAACGATATGCGGAGATGCTTGGTATTAGTAGTCTATCCATTGCTTATATAGGGTGTTTCACCGTTGATGGTACTTTAGACGTTTACAGCGAAAAAATATTTAACAATAATAATAATAACAATAAAAAGTACAGACCAAATGTATAAAGGCACTACAAAATATATACATATAATTACGTAATCAAAAGGTTATGTAAAAAAAAACTCTTTGCGGTGTATAAAAATTTTTGCTTTAATTATGTTTCACAAGTTGTTGAAAAGTTACATTTTGTTTCATCAGGAAGGCGATTAAAAACTTGCAGCCTCAATATACAGACTAGACGAAATTTTATATTTGGTAAAAGGTATATGAATTTTGCTTTACTGTCTGATGTTAAAAGAATTAATATCTTTATTTTGAGTAAAATTGTTTTTATTTTTGAATACATATATACAGAGCTCAAATATAAACAAACTTAGTAAGATCACCGTATATATTAAATAAATTTCTACAAGAATGAGAGCTCGATACCCCAGCAATATAACGAACCGCTCTTTTCTGTACTAAAAACACTTTTGTTGATTGTGTAGAGCAATCCCATAGTATTATTCCGTATCGTAGAAAAGTAGAAAAGGTTCAATGTGAGAGTAATATATTTGTAATAATTGTGACTCCGACAGCACAGTGCGCAAATTCCTCAACATGTAAATATTCTACTTCATCCGAGAAATCAAGAACTCGCAGCGATTTTTGTAGTTAAGATTCTCATCGATTACAATACCTAAAAATTTAACACTCTCAGACTGAGGTACTGGACAATCATCTATCTTCAAAATGATTATAGAACATATTTTCTGATGATGGTGGATCTTAAAAACGTTGTCTTATCGGGATTTAAAAACAAATCATTACTGACGTTGCTCAACATATCGTTGCATTTAGTCTGCACCTATCTAAAATGACAACGGAGGTCATTATTGAAATGTTAAATGTAGTACTTTATGAGTGTTTTTGAATGCTACGTTCCCATACTCGACTTTATCGGTTTTCATAAAATTACTTATTTTCTTTATTTTGGACTTAACTTAGGGAAGTACTGTACATTATTTCTCAGTATCGAAATTAGTTCTTCATCATACAGGGTTTTTCAAAACTAATGATTCACATACGAGATATAAAAATGGTGAAAAGTGCAGAACACGTATATTATCACATATTCTATGAGCAAATTAAAGTCCTTTTCGAATGATGTATCCTTTGCCGATACCTAAAGATTTACTCTCTTAAGGAAACGAGTGTTCTAAGGCTGTTTTAATGAGTTTGTTTTATTATGTATGGACAATGCAACCACATTATGCCGAAAACATGCAGAACATTTCATTTAAATTTTCCAAAATTAACAAAAGCTTTACAAACTATTTTACACAAACTTCATATAAAAATTACACACAGAAAAATGATTCCAATTTTTACATTAGGTGTTCGAACTTAGAACTGTTCACCATTGCATTCTAAACACTTTAAAGTCCGTGGAAGTGGACTGATTATAGTAGCCTTCTTTATCTCCGATGGGTCTATTTGTTCCAAGCATCATATAATCCGGTGACGTAACTGTTCCTTGCTCTCACTGGTGTTAGTACATCATTCGAAAGAGAATTTAATTTGCTTTTATAATATATGATAATATACGGATTGTTCCATTTTTAAAAGATGCATATTTCACCATTTCTGTATCTGGTAGGCAAATCAACCCTGTATAACGTGTAGAACTGATTTCGATATTAAGAAATTCTATCCCATAAGCTATATCTAAAATTTTGTGGACGGAAAATAATTATTTTCTCGAAAACCGCTGAAGATGGGAAGGGTAGGAACGTATTATTTCAATGTTGATGCTACTTCTTCGAAGAAGCGGCAACATCGCAGACCATTCGCCGCAACCGCGAAATATCCCGTATATTTAATGATCATTTTTGGTCAATAGCAACCAAAATAATAAATACCTGAAACATAAAAATCTCACAATTTATTACTTCTTGTCACCGGTGATTGAAAAGGACGTTGTAAAGGCAATTAGTCAATCAAAAAAAAAACATCATACAATGGAAACGAAAAAAAAATTAAATTGAATATATGTAAATATATATTAACTTAAAATTGTATATAAAGTCATAATATACTTAATCTAGATATACAATGTATCATACAGGGTTGGTCAAAACTAATGATTTGCATACGAGATATAAAAATGGTGAAAAGTGCAGAACACGTATATTATCACATATTCTATGAGCAAATTAAAGTCCTCTTCGAATGATGTATCATGTGCCCATACCTAAAGATTTACTCTCTTAAGGAAACGAGTGTTCTAAGGCTGTTTTAATGAATTTGGTTTATTAAGTATGGACAATGCAACCACATTATGCCGAAAACATGCAGAACATTTCATTTAAATTTTCCAAAATTAACAAAAGCTTTACAAACTATTTTACACAAACTTCATATAAAAATTACACACAGAAAAATGATTCCAATTTTTACATTAGGTGTTCGAACTTAGAACTGTTCACCATTGCATTCTAAACACTTTAAAGTCCGTGGAAGTGGACTGATGGTAGTAGCCTTCTTTATCTCCGATGGGTCTATTTGTTCAAAGCATCATATAATCCGGTGACGTAACTGTTCCTTGCTCTCACTGGTGTTAGTACATCATTCGAAAGAGAATTTAATTTGCTTTTATAATATATGATAATATACGGATTGTTCCATTTTTAAAAGATGCATATTTCACCATTTCTGTATCTGGTAGGCAAATCAACCCTGTATAACGTGTAGAACTGATTTCGATATTAAGAAATTCTATCCCATAAGCTATATCTAAAATTTTGTGGACGGAAAATAATTATTTTCTCGAAAACCGCTGAAGATGGGAAGGGTAGGAACGTATTATTTCAATGTTGATGCTACTTCTTCGAAGAAGCGGCAACATCGCAGACCATTCGCCGCAACCGCGAAATATCCCGTATATTTAATGATCATTTTTGGTCAATAGCAACCAAAATAATAAATACCTGAAACATAAAAATCTCACAATTTATTACTTCTTGTCACCGGTGATTGAAAAGGACGTTGTAAAGGCAATTAGTCAATCAAAAAAAAAACATCATACAATGGAAACGAAAAAAAAATTAAATTGAATATATGTAAATATATATTAACTTAAAATTGTATATAACGTCATAATATACTTAATTTAGATATACAATGTATCATACATGGTTGGTCAAAACTAATGATTTGCATACGAGATATAAAAATGGTGAAAAGTGCAGAACACGTATATTATCACATATTCTATGAGCAAATTAAAGTCCTTTTCGAATGATGTATCCTTTGCCGATACCTAAAGATTTACTCTCTTAAGGAAACGAGTGTTCTAAGGCTGTTTTAATGAGTTTGTTTTATTATGTATGGACAATGCAACCACATTATGCCGAAAACATGCAGAACATTTCATTTAAATTTTCCAAAATTAACAAAAGCTTTACAAACTATTTTACACAAAATTACACACAGAAAAATGATTCCAATTTTTACATTAGGTGTTCGAACTTAGAACTGTTCACCATTGCATTCTAAACACTTTAAAGTCCGTGGAAGTGGACTGATTGTAGTAGCCTTCTTTATCTCCGATGGGTCTATTTGTTCAAAGCATCATATAATCCGGTGACGTAACTGTTCCTTGCTCTCACTGGTGTTAGTATATCATTCGAAAAAGAATTTAATTTGCTTTTATAATATATGATAATATACGGATTGTTCCATTTTTAAAAGATGCATATTTCACCATTTCTGTATCTGGTAGGCAAATCAACCCTGTATAACGTGTAGAACTGATTTCGATATTAAGAAATTCTATCCCATAAGCTATATCTAAAATTTTGTGGACGGAAAATAATTATTTTCTCGAAAACCGCTGAAGATGGGAAGGGTAGGAACGTATTATTTCAATGTTGATGCTACTTCTTCGAAGAAGCGGCAACATCGCAGACCATTCGCCGCAACCGCGAAATATCCCGTATATTTAATGATCATTTTTGGTCAATAGCAACCAAAATAATAAATACCTGAAACATAAAAATCTCACAATTTATTACTTCTTGTCACCGGTGATTGAAAAGGACGTTGTAAAGGCAATTAGTCAATCAAAAAAAAAACATCATACAATGGAAACGAAAAAAAAATTAAATTGAATATATGTAAATATATATTAACTTAAAATTGTATATAACGTCATAATATACTTAATCTAGATATACAATGTATCATACAGGGTTGGTCAAAACTAATGATTTGCATACGAGATATAAAAATGGTGAAAAGTGCAGAACACGTATATTATCACATATTCTATGAGCAAATTAAAGTCCTCTTCGAATGATGTATCATGTGCCCATACCTAAAGATTTACTCTCTTAAGGAAACGAGTGTTCTAAGGCTGTTTTAATGAATTTGGTTTATTAAGTATGGACAATGCAACCACATTATGCCGAAAACATGCAGAACATTTCATTTAAATTTTCCAAAATTAACAAAAGCTTTACAAACTATTTTACACAAACTTCATATAAAAATTACACACAGAAAAATGATTCCAATTTTTACATTAGGTGTTCGAACTTAGAACTGTTCACCATTGCATTCTAAACACTTTAAAGTCCGTGGAAGTGGACTGATTATAGTAGCCTTCTTTATCTCCGATGGGTCTATTTGTTCAAAGCATCATATAATCCGGTGACGTAACTGTTCCTTGCTCTCACTGGTGTTAGTATATCATTCGAAAAAGAATTTAATTTGCTTTTATAATATATGATAATATACGGATTGTTCCATTTTTAAAAGATGCATATTTCACCATTTCTGTATCTGGTAGGCAAATCAACCCTGTATAACGTGTAGAACTGATTTCGATATTAAG